ATACGTGTGTGTGTGTGTGTGTGTGTGTGGTGGTGTGTGTGTGTGTGTGTGTGTGTGTGTGTGTGTGTGTGTGTGTGTGTGTGTGTGTGTGTGTGTGTGTGTGCGTGTGTGTGTGTGTTTATTTGTGTGTGTCTGTTTGGGTTTCATGCCAGGTTGAGCACCTTGCCGTCTGCTCCCAGCTGGATCCTGTGGCAGATGGTGGACACAAGCAATCCCAAGTGACAGGGCTTAACACAATAACAATAACAGCGAAGGTAGGGCCATGTTTGGGAGTTTGGATTGTTAGCAGTATGTCTCTGTGTGTATACTTTATATGTCAGTATATGTGCGATGACAAAACAAAATTAAACACCGATGTAGAAATTGATTTATTCTCCAGAGAGAAAGAGAGGTGTGAGAGCTGGCAGGATATATAAAGACTCAGAAAATGCAGGATGGGAACACAAACAGTAACAATAAAGGAGAGAAAAATAACTGACGTCAAGAACAGGAAACAGATGGGGCGGAGAGAATTCAAAATTGCGAGAAGTCTCTGACCATTTCTAGACTGTTCTGCAGATGTGATTGTGTTTGCCAAAAATATTTTGATTTTGAAGCCTAATTCAAAGACTGCATGCCTAAAGTAAGACATATAGCCTTATACTACTCACATCACATACACAATGTACACGTGTATAATGTACAAAATATATATAAACGTGCTCCTTTCCTGCCTGATGAGAATAAAACAGATAAAGTAAATGCTAATGCAAAAATGTTATGGCCATAGATGCCACAGAGCAGACACTATCGTCAAGTGCTGGTGCATTGAGGAAACAAAATGAAGCAAGAAGGCTTCTCTTGACCACCTCTCTCTCTTGGCATTTTGCCTCCAACCTTTAGTCTATTTTTGCCTTGACAAGTGCCGGGTGCAGTGGATTACTGTTAACTCTAATCAAATATGTGTTCCTCTCTTTCTCTGTGTGTAGTTTTCAGTGTGTATGTAGGTGTGATATACAGAAAGCAGCAAACCTGCATCCATCTCTGCAGTACACCACCGCCCTGCAGTGAATATAGGTCACTCGCCTTCTGACTCCTCTGCTCTCCTTTCCCTTTGCACCGCTTACCCCTTTACTTTTCAAACACTTTCCTACCTGCTTAACTCCATCCCCTCATGCTCTGTTTTAACATGTGTTCTTGTACATGTATTCCAGCCTGCACCACCCATTGTCTTGTCCTTCACCTGATCCCACAATCTTTTTTACCCTTCCCCCCTGATTCGTTAGCCCACACCATATGTTGCACTCCCCTCTATATAACGCCCCCCCCCCACACACCACCACCTTCCTCTTTCTCCTGCCAATATTACAGGCCATGAATGGTTGCCGTGGAAACTACATCCGGCAGTAGGACATTGGTAGGAGTCATGGTGACAGTGCTTGTGCTGATGGAGTATAATGCTGCAAGCTCTCTCTCCCTCTCCCTCTTTCTCTCTCTCTCTCTTGTAGTCTCGCCACTCTCCCTTAGCAACAGCAGCCTCAGCTCCCTCTGCTTTCTTTGCTACACTCAATCATTCTGATTTACTCATTGTCACCCCCTCCCAGTTGATGTTTTTCATGTCTTCACTTTCCTCTCCACCTTCTCCTCTACCGTGTCTATCTTTATGGCGCATGTGTTTCTTCTTTCTTCTCAATCCCTCGCTCTGCATCCTGCCCATCCCCCTTCTCCCTGCCTCTCTCTGCCCAATCTCTCCAGGGGATGGTTGCAATACTGCACAGTTATCTCTGAAGCCCTCTATGCCTTTGGTTTGTACTCAGACTTGTGAAATAGTGAGGAGAGATAGAGTATAAAGCAACAGGGAGTGACAAACAGACAGTGAGAGAGAGTTTGACAGCAATCAGAACCATGATTTCATTAATGTGGGTCTGTTAATCTGGGCGTGGGCTGCGCTCCATCTGTCACAGCGGGGGCAGCACACAAAGCAGGCAGCCAAAACACACTTAGAAACACAGCCAAGCACACAACACACTAAAAACATGAAATAAGATGCAACGCGCAGACACACACACATTCACTAATCGGAGAGGAAGAAGCAGGGGCGTTGTCAGCTGCACCGCTATCTCACCTTTTTATTTTAAAACTACTGTGATTCAAACCATCACCCTACAGTAGCAGCATTATCAGTCAAACAATTCCCTCGACAAACCCAACTTTGATATACTCCTGCTGTCCACCTGAGGATCACAGCCTGCAACAAACAAGATGATTTGGCTAAAAATAGCACAGACTGTGACTCATAGTGACGTGACAGGTCACATTGAATACATATCTCAATTCCTCTAATTTCTGAGAGATGATGAACAGAACCAACTTCAAAGTGTGAACACACATCTTTCCCAATCTTGTGCTCCAGTCAGGAAGCTCTACACATACATTATTTTCATATTATCCAACGCTCTTAACCCAGAATTACCGTTAATCCAACCATAGCTTCTGACCTTAAGCTAATACAGCTAATATTTTCATTCTTAACCTGGATAACAAAGACATGAAGAAGGGACAGTTAGCCCTTAGGCGAAGCAAGCTTAGTGTTTGTAAAATGTGTTGTTCTGAAAGTGCTAAATTAGACCACCTTAAATCCTCACCAGCTGATCCTGTTACCACTGACCCACCCTGAAGACGTCACTGCTGCCTGTTCTGACCTCTCTCTGTTTATATCTCATGTTTTGAAGTGCCTGCAGGCTGTACGTCCTCAGCCAAGGCAACAAATCAATGGCAGAGTGGAGGAGGGTGTGTGTGTGTGTGTGTGTGTGTGTGTGTGTGTGTGTGTGTGTGTGTGTGTGTGTGGCTGGAAGAGAAAGTAGTGAGTGTATAGGTAGCTTGTCTGCCTACCAAGCACACCGCCTTCTGTCTATGAAAGACACCATACAGGCCATCTCTAATTCCTTAATCACAATGTAATTACACTTCCGTCGTATCTCCAGTCCTCTTATTGGAGATACTTCCATCTAGTTTTCTCTCCTTTCTCTCCCATCTTTCTGCCAGGCAACTCTTTTTTCTGCTTCACTCTTAATCCCTTTTGAGCCCACTTCCCTGTGATTATGAGGAAAGTCACCTCTTGCAATATTTATGCATTTGTTCCGTTTCCAACTATGTGGCAAGTTGTGTAGAATGTTACATTTAAACGTAATGGTTATCAAGTAACAATCTGAAGTTGAAACTTTCATATGAGTCACTTGCCTGCATCTGCTTTACAGCAAAAGCACTGCCAACATGTACTCATTTAATTGGACTCCTTTTTTCAATTGCATGAGCTGAGCTTGCAACTGGAAGGCCTGAAAGCTAACATTATTTAAAATGGTGTTTCCTTGAGAGCAAGTCATTTTAAAATCTATATACAAAGCTTTCAACGGTACGTTAAATATAATACACAATTGTGTTATGTACAGGTGCCATGTTTCAAATGACCATATGTCCATAATAAATGTATTAAAAGCTTATGATTACATTTAAATATATGAATAATATTATTAGCTGAACAAAAGAACAAGAAAGATAAAGGGGAGGATATATAATTGTATTTGAATAGTGTTTTCTAATGGTTGTCATCTGTCGCTCAGTGGTTTATTCCTCTGTAAACATCTTGCTGATAATCCAATGCATTTGTGTCTCTGTCGCCCTTTTCTTGTCAGTATTGTCTCCTTTACTGATACGGAGAGCAGAGATATCTATCTACGCCTATAGCATGTATCATTTCCTCTCCCTGCATCAGTGGGAAGTGTTAGGACGTGTTAGGGGGGGTCTCGTAAATGATATATCTGTATTCCTCATTGTATTACTCTCTTGTGGTTTAATAAGCTCTTGAGGAATGTAGAGTTATTGGTTTAAGATACTCTTAGAGGGTTTTGTCTGAATATGGATCATGCTGTACAGATTTCCACATGGTATACCAAATCAGCTCCTACATTTCTTTAATGTTTTTTCATTTTCTTTTACTGTGCCTAAAACAGTCTTTAATGAGTTGTGATGGTTTAGGTGAAAGTAGAATTCTTACCAGCAGCGCTAGACGCAGTGGGCCAGTTCTGAACCAGGACACCCTGGGCTCCTTGCATTACTGCGGACTCTTCCATGTGCACTGAGCTGGAACACAAGAAACAAACATGCACATATTACACACTGGTATTCTCTCAGATATGATATACTAACCTATGCTAAATTAAACCGCAAAACAGAAGTTTTACTTTTTAAGATTTAAGTGATGACTGTGATGTATAAGCTCCCACATTACATTTTGTTGTGTCCATGCGTTTGCCATAATACACAATATTACAGATTCAAACTTTGGTACTCTATTTGTGGGGGTTAGAAAATGTAATGATCAGATTAGGATTAAAGTATTCACCCTAGATTTTTCTGGAATTCTCTGGATTATGGATTACAGATGGTCGCTCTTACATTTTCACACTCCCTCTGTGGGATTTCAGCACCCTCCCCTCTACTAAAAAATGCTTCACTCTCTGTAGTACTTAACAATTGCAAAATAAATGTTGATACAAACCACAGTTCTCTCTCTCACTGCTTCTACCTTATCTTTAAAAAGGGAAATATGTTCTGGCTCTGACAATAACATTTCGACCATGACGATCGATGAGAAAGGGCCCCTGCTTTCTGTTATGATCCAAGCAAGGAGGGCATAAACCATTTATACAGACATGCTGTTACAGCCAGACCATGAACCATTACCATAGTCTTGATTAGGATATAACCTTCATGAAGGAATGTGTGTGTTTCGAAGGCATCAATATTTGGTTAATTTATTGAAAATAAGCAGCCTTTAGTCTTTATGAAAACTATTGGGAATCATTTACCATTTAAATAGAATTGTGTAGAAGTCTGTAGGTTAGTAATATTAAAGGCACTTAGATACTGTATATGAGAAGCCATATTCCTGTACATTGGTTCTTTGAGGAGAACAAAAGTGATTTGGCGATGGAGGCCATTTTAAATGCTGCGAAGCATCAGCATTATCAAGGTACACTGTTGAATTATTAATGGGAAACACTGGGCTGATAATACATGTTTGATCTACAGTACTAGCAGCCCTTCTCTCTCCTTCATCCCCCAGACTCAACCCTATAACAAACAAAATTAGTAGGGAATCATTTGCACTTTGACATATTCAATTACTAAATGAAAAAAATAGGTCAGTGCCATTAAAGGGTGTGATATCTCCTCTACAAACTGTGATTATAGATGAACATTTAGTAAGGCTTGGTAATGGGACATGGGGATAGTCAACCTAAAACACATCAGAGGTAGTGATGAGAAAGATTTAATGTGTTGGACTGGCCTACAAGGACATTAACGCTCATTAATCCCTGCTGTAATTATGAGGGATTCTGTAACATTAATGACACTCAGATGGTCCAGAGTTATTAATCTGACATTGACATCCGAGTGCACACGTTCGTACATATATCGGCAGCTACAGTATAATGTAACAAATGCACTTGGGGCCTCTGTAGACTCATGTAGATGAGCAGCAACAGAGGAGTGATGTTTATTTCGTTTTTTAAATATATACTGCAGAGAAGCAGATAACACAAGTTGTATCTTAACCTGTTAAACAGTATATGTTATAATCAATTATTGTTAATAATTGTATTTATATTTTTCATCTGAATCGTTGAAGTAGCTAAAGTTAACAAATAAAGTGTTGTAAGAAATATAATATTATTATATATATATATTTGCAATTAGGGCAGCAACTGAAATATTATTTTCATTGTAGATTGATCTGCATATTATTTTCTAGAATAATCAATGAATTGTTTGTTCTATATGTCAGAGAATAGTGAACATGTTCTGTATTATGAATAATTGATTATTTATGAATCACATTTTAAATACATTTTCAATAATTGTTCTGTTAATCAACTACTTGATTAGTTGGGTAATAATTTCAGCTCTAATGGCTTTTATTCTGGTTTGATAAAGACTTATACGAGGTCCTTGTAATTTCCCCTCAGAAGTGCAATCCCAGCTGAGCAGCAGTTGCCAGCAAGATGATCTCAGACATCTCTACTGGAAGAGGCCATTGTATAAACATGTATCATCCTCTCTGTGATGCAGATCTGTCAGGATTTCCAGACATTTATAGATGTTTTCCATATGGTCAATATATGGAAAAAATAAAGGTACTGTCTCATGTTAAGTTTTATTTAATGTCAACTAACTGAAACAGATTGTTCAGAGAATGACTTCTTGGTGTGTGATTATTATCTTTAGTCTCGGCCTCTGCATGACAGGGCTTCTCCCTCTGAACTGGCAGCAGAATGACTCTTCAATACTTTTTTCTTTGTTTTTCAGTTGAAGTTCACATGATTTCCCATTGGCATATTGAGGCCATTCCTGTAGACAATTTGAGGATATCCAAGACGACTCGCAGAATTAGCTAGAATGAAGAATGGTTGCTTCTTACGATCAGTCTGTGGTGCCGGATTTGGTTATTGGCTTGAATATTATCATGTGGGACAATAGCGTACATGCCTGTTGGTCTTTAGCAAAAAATGATGAAAGTGACTGTTGAGATACTTTGTGCAAGTGACAGAAAATAAATTGTATTCTTACCTCTGCATCATACCGCCTGCTCTCAGTGAGGCTGAATATCTCCAGTCGGCACTCTGCACTCTGGGCTGCAAGAGAAAGTGAGAGAAGTTGAGTCTTAAGTACACGCTAAAGTCAATACCATCTCATTAATAAGCCATGGCAAGACACACATACACAAACAAACTCAGTCGCACACACTCATGGAAGTGAAAGCTTGCTGCTGCCTATGGAGAGAAAAAAGTGTTGAATTAAAGATTGTAACTCATCTCCTCTGATCCCATCCATGTCCTCTGAAATAAAAAAAATTGTTGAGAGAGTTGACCACTGACCATGTGATATATAAGAAACATTGCTGGGTGCTGATGACAGACTCAATTCAAAGATGCATTCTACCCAATGCTCCTTTTTTCTTTCTCTTTCACATTCTTTATGAATTTATGAAGATATTCCAAAATGCCAGTCTTCAAAAAAACACCAAAAATATCAAGATGTTTATTGGTGATGCTAGATCTACATTTCTGAAAGACCTGCGTTTATTGCTGTATTTTTCCTTCTCACGTACCACCCTCTCTGCCTCTGTATATTCACCACCCTCCCTTCCCGTGCTTTCACGTTCTTTCTTTCTGTTTCATCCTCTTAACACTGATCAAAACCTAGAGTTTCACAGGCACACAGTCTGCCTGAGTCAGTCTGACACATCTCACCATGGTAACTGTGCAGAACTCAGTCAAGATTGTACCCTGCACCCACCGCCCTCCATCCTTTCAGTCCTGTGAAGGTCACAGGTGGGGGAAAGAGGGGGCGGGCAGATATCATGCTAACCCCGTCAGACACACTACAATAGAAAGAAAGACTAAAAGGGATAACACTACTGGAACCTCTGCCAGTGATGCAATTCATTTGAGACCTCCTAATATGCAATTTCATTGTTTGTGCTTCTGAAAAAAATCTTAAATCATAAAAGCAGAAGAAATGTGGTGAGAAGACTGTCCATTCAGTATTGACAATGGTTTTGCTGCAGCAACATGTTCTGTTAAACTGACCACACCCAGATTGTATTTTCTCTAATCTCAACCAAAACCATTGACAGTCCTTAAACAATCTGATTGAGGAAATTACAATTCTCTGTGCTTGGCCATGCAGTTCACACGAGACCCATTTGCAATCCAATTCCCTTTCAAATATGACAGATGTTCGCTTGCTGCTGAAGCTGCATTGACCTCTATGAGTCTGCAGTAGATAATATTTGGTCTCAATGAGAGAAGGCTAGTATTCTTCCTGGAGTCATTCACACAGAGCAGAGCCCTGCAGCAATGAAGACACTTAAAACTGGGTGCACTTGATTATTCTTCAGACAATCACTCCTTAAAAAGCAATCGGTGGTTAGATCAATAGTTTAGATCGATATTTAAGTGCATATTATTACGGCATTAGAAACAGTAAAACACAAGCTATTTGTCTAATATTAACATTCACATAACAAACAAGAAGAGATTGAGACATAAAAACAATGTTAAAATAAGACCAATTTGTCCACAAATGGGACTAAATGGCTTAGCTAAACGCTTTCCCTGTAGCGGGACAGCAGTGGCTGAAGGGAGAGGTCTGTTTGGCCGTATGGTGTTTATTGGGCTAAATGAAAACACACACACTAGCATCTACACACACTAGATAAAAGCATCTGGAACCTAAGCATGTCCATAGTCTGATATACTCCCAAGGGAAGACATGCATGCAAACCAAGAATGTAAGTAGTTTATGCAATAACTGTAAACAGACAAACAAAAACAAATCTGACTCATACTTCGAATGAGTTACCAATGCATTATGTTTCTTTCTTTGAGGGGAGAAACCAGATTCAGTAAAAAAATTGAAAGAAACCTAAAATATAATGAGATTTTAGTTTCATAATTGCCTTGCCTGACTGTAATTTGTAAAGAAAGCTTTTTGTTTGCCCACTCAATCAATTTCTCGCCTTTTTCTCCATTCTTTCCTCTCCCTCTGTGTGAACACTCCTAGCATGGATACAGAGCGCACACCTCCGCCATCAACACTCTGTCCAATCACCTTTCATCCCCCCACCTCATCTGCGCACAGCCAGCCAATCCACGCACAGTACTGAGAAACTCACCGCTGACAGTTAATTAAATAGAAACATGACTGGCATTTAATGAGGGACACATCAAGTGATAACAGAAAAATACCTGTACACATTTCATCCTGTTTTTCATTACTCCTTTACTCAAATATCATTTTCTTCACTGAATAGACAGACCGATAGAGGCTCACATCACCATGTTGAAAGTAAATAATATTTGTTTTATTCTAAAAATACTGTTTGGTTCTTTAAATTATGCAAACAACTCTATGCATCCTTTTAAATAGCAAAATAAACATGAACTGAAGCTCTGGTGCCTCCTTCCTGTCTTCTTCCCCTATTCCAAAATGCTTGCTTGCTGCTCACTACCAGAGAGGTACGTGACCAGAAGAGGATATTTTTGGTGCAGTGGGACTGTAGGCCATTGCAGCTGGCAAATACTGCTCTATTTTCTAGACTGTCCCTCTCTTTAGAGATAACCACTGAAGGCCCTCTGGACCTACTGGACTTGAATAGTGTGGCACACAGCCCAGAGGTGACAAATAACATTGGCTGTGTGGGGTCATAGGTGAACAAGCTGAAATCTACTGGTTTGTTGTGAAGAGAGAATGTAACAGAGAGCAGATTACAGCTTTCTGTAGAACTGTGGAGGACGGTTTAATATCTTCACCGACTCTCCAAATGCCTGGTCTTTAGCAAGCGTGGAACAAACACAAAGACACTTACCAAAACCAGCAAATCAGAGTGCATTAACCAACCCACTCATATAAACCGTACAGAGAAACTACCCACACATTGTTTTTAGATGCAGACCTGAATATAAATGGCACCTAATGTAACGACCATTAAAACGTAATAATGGAAGCATGTACCTAAAAAAAATGGTGGTATATTTTTCTCACATTAGATCATTTTCTCAGGCATCTTGCAAGTGATGGAAATAACTTGTACATTCCAATTTGCCTTTTTTTTTTAAACCATCTGTCCTGAAGAGCAGCAAGTAAATGTATTATTGTGAAACATTACACGCTTGTAGAACATATAAATGGCTTTAACAGTTTCAGAGCCATAAATGTAAACTGCAATCCAACTGCAAGAACACTGCCCTAGAGCAAAGCCTGAGCCATAACTGTCTGAATATTTTTGTTTTTATAGCTTGTACCTTGTGGCTCATTTACTGCTATGAGGCAATCTAAAACAACAAACACAGAGATCACACTAGACACACACCTGAACAGTTGCATCTGGCATACTGAGTCGCCGTACAATTAACTGGCTCTGTCCGCTGTGGCTGGTGACGTAGCCTGAGCCCCAGGTGCTACTGTGTGGCCGTCCCGTGTTGTAGAACATAAATGTGTCGCTTCCTGACGTGGCTGTCATGCATGTCTTGTAACAATATGTGTTAGTTAAAGACCCATTTCCCCGCACTTCAATATAATGCGGTTCCCCTTTGAGGTCACGTCGCATGGCCACATTGTCGTTTGGTTGCCCTCCGCCACCAGCACCACCAGCACCACCACCACCTCCACGTGCAGCTCTTCCTCCTGCCCCACCACCAACTGCTGCGGTGCCACCTTCTGGAACACTTTTCTTGGATACACAACATGGGGAGCAGGAGCCAGGCTGGGTGCAGTACGCATGGCAACGCACAATGGCCAGCACAAAGATGGTGACCAGGAACACAAAAGTTGTTGCACAAAGAGCAATGATGAGGTAGAGGGTGACGTTGGAAAACATCAGGGGGCTGTTCGGTCGGATGATACGCTTAGGGTCAGGGGTCAACTTTGGAGGAAGCTCCATCACGTGCACATGGATGGTGGCTGTGGAGGAGAGCGGCGGTAAACCATGATCATGTACTCGCACTGTCAAGATGAAGGAGGTGGAGTTGTCCTCAATGACCCGCCTTGTGGTGCGTATCTCGCCGGTGTACTCATGCACCTTGAACAGGTCAAGGTCTGTGTTTGTCTGCTCAATGGCGTAGAGCAGCCAAGCATTCTGCCCGGCGTCACCATCCCACGCTGTTACCTTGGTAACCAATGCTCCTGCTTCAGCGTTTTTCATCAGCGTTTCTGTGGAGCGGCTGCCATTGGAAGGTGGGGAGACTATCCTGGGCACATGGTCATTCTGATCCATAATGTAAACATACACAGTGGCCACACGGCTTAGGGGAGGCACACCATTGTCCTGGGCTTTAACCTGAAAGTGAAACTCTCTCAACTTCTCAAAATCGAAGGCTCGCAGGGCATAGGCTTCACCTTTGGCAGGTTTGATGCTGATGTAGCTGGCAACAGGGATGCCATGGTTGTTGTCATTCAGGACAGTATAGGTGATGCGTGCATTTTCAGCAGCATCAGCATCTGTGGCTTTAACAACACACAAAGGTGCACCAGGAGCATTGTTCTCTGTAATATAAACGGTATAGGATGTCTGTTCAAAACGAGGCGGGTTGTCATTCACGTCTGCAACAGCAACCTTAAAGGTCATTTGAGATGATAGGGCTGGGGTGCCTCCATCCACAGCATTGACAGTGACATTGTAGGATGAGATGGTTTCCCGGTCTAGGAAAGCAGAGGTAACAATAGTATAGTGGTTCCGGAAAGACTTGATCCTAAAAGGCAGATTGGGCATGATATCAAGGGAAACTTGTTTATTTTTTCCAGAGTCACGATCATTCACACTGATCAATGCTACAACTGTGTCAGCCCGGGCATCCTCACGTACAGGACTGGAGAGTGAAGACAGTATAATCTCAGGAATGTTGTCATTGACATCCAAAACTTCTACGACTACTTTACAGTGAACTGCCACAGCAGCTGGCCCCTTGTCCATAGCCTGTATGTACATTTCATAAGAGTTTGTCTCTTCGTAGTCTATGTTGTTTTTCACCCTAATTTCACCTGTTTCTGTGTCCATGGAAAACATATGTCTGACTCTTTCTGGCGTGTAACTGCTGAAGGAATAAAACACTTCCCCATTTGAGCCCTCATCAGGGTCTGTTGCATTTAACTTGATCACAAGTGCACCCTTTGGAGAGTTTTCGTACAATTTTACTTTGTACACAGAGATGTCAAACGCAGGTACATTGTCATTGGCATCAAGTATACGTACATTGATTTTGGCAGTGCCAGTTCTCTGTGGGGTGCCTCCATCCATTGCTGTCAGGATTAACTGATGAGAGGGTTTCTGCTCGCGGTCAAAGGGCTTTTTAAGAATAAAGTCGATGTGCTTATTATTTGAAAAGGGCTTAATAGAGTCCAGAGTGAGGTGGTCGTTTGGGCTGAGGCGGTACTGCTTCACAGAGTTGGAACCATCATCTGCATCCTGAGCTCCCTCTATGCGAAAGTGCGAACCGGTGAGAGCGGACTCGGACACCTCGAGCTGATATTCATCTCGAGGGAATTGTGGCGCGTTATCGTTAACGTCTAAAATGTCCACCTCCACGTTGTGCACCTCCAGTGGATTCTCTAATACCACCTCAAGGTTGCGTGAACAGGTGCCACTGAATTCACAAACTGTCTCTCGGTCAATGCGATCACTCACAACCAGCTTGCCTGTTTTGTGATTTATGGTGAAATATCTCCGTCCACTGTCAGAAGTGATTCTGACGCGTCGTGTGGAAAGTTTGCTCAGGTCCAAACCAAAATCCCGGACAATGTCACCGACCAATGCCCCGTTTTCCAGCTCCTCCGGAATGGAGTATCGAATTTGTGCATTTGTAAGGCTACTCAGTATGAAAATAACAACATATAAAGAAAAAGGCACATTCTCATTTACACTGTAACAGCATCGTGCCGTCACAGCCATCGCAGGCAGGCAGAATTCACAGACGGGTCGGAGGAATCTGTCCGTCTTTTCAGCTTGCTGTGAGTGCCCACCCGCCTCATTAAAAACGAGGAAATTATCCGTGCATAACTCCGACTATGTGCAGGAATACCACCGCATCCTCTCTGGTGCCTGTTTAACGGGAATTTTCCTCAGTGCATCCATGTTTTCCTTTGTCTATGCTGGGTTCGGTTTTTAAATTTCTCTATCCTACAGTGCAAGGCTGGCTGCTTTCACTGACTATAGCTCTCTCTCTCTTTTTTTCTCTCTCCCTCCCTGCAATGGTTTCTGTGGGCAAAAAGGGAGGGGGAGCCCTCTCGCTCAAGAGATGTTGACTGCATTTCAGCACCTCCGAATAAAATGATGGAAACACATCTAATACAAATAAAAACAAACACAGAAAGGAAGAAAATACTCCGGAGTATTATATGTGCACGAATATGGACGCTGTATGTGCAGCTGACACAGATTTCGGGGGAAACAATTCGACAACAATCGTTTTCCCTCTTTTTGTCAGCGCCACCGCCCTTTTCATCGTACGCTGGGAAACTGATTTATGAACAAGCCTGGCGATTACATTTCTGCACTGATGCAAGCCCACAATTACTCAAGAACCCTCGAGCCAAAAGGAAAAACAAATGTCTGATACATGCAGAATATATTTTGAAAAAAGGAAACATAGGCCTATACAAAAACAAATAAACCAACTATAAAAACAATTAAAGTATTATTTCCTATATGACTTTGGTTGACATTACTCTATTAAACACGTTATTTTTATCACAACAAATACCATGGGAATAAGATTACATGAATGAAGGTGTTGCGAGTGTGGTCAGAGGCTCTCTCTCATATTTTAACCACAACATTCAATAGAGGGGTGAATCTAGCCTTCTCACCATGTGTCTCTTCACGAGAATTAATTGCTGAGACACTGGGACGTTCTGTCAGCATAGAACTGACATTTGCTCTTCTACAGCAACAAAGCACGTAATGTGATTAAGATTTCCACTGGTGACGACGAGGCTAGTCGGGTCACAGACAATATGCTCTGGGAGTGAACCCTCTCATCTGGCCAAAATACAACGCTGCGGCCACCTCTGGCAGGCATGAACTGCGCATGCGTGGGGTAGCAGGTGGCGGCCTTAACAACCAAATCAGCCTGCTCTGGCTCTCCTCTAATTACTCCGAACACAGAATCCATGTACCTAAATTAAATTCAGATTTAAATTGAATTCAAGTTAATTGGATGAGACCTCACCCCAATGCATTTAACATGGCAAATATAAATTGAAGATCCTTGACACGATTCAATTTGATCTCAACAGTGGAGCGATGACTGTAAAAAACAACTCAAGTTCAGTGCTCGCAGTTTCACGTCAATAGGTTTGCTAGGAGCCACCATAAATAGGCTTTAAATTAGTCTGAGAAAAAACAGTGATGTAACCAGTAAAACTGTGCTGATGTGATCCATTGTCACTCTTTTGACAAGTTGTGTGCTGTGAAGAAGTGGCCTTGTGAGACCCTGAGTCTTCAAGATTCACTCGGCCACTGGGCCAAGATGAGCGTCCACCGCCCACACAATCTTTTTCCTCTCCTGGTGCTCTGCCACTCACCCACGCCCGGTCTGCCCACGGCGATGACAGTGTTTGCATCCTGGGAAACGGGGAGAAGGCTGTGACTCACTCGGATGCTGCTAGTGGATGGGTAAATGCACATTGACTCTTCACACTAGAAGGTGACGACGAGGAGGTGGCAAAATAGGGAGTTGGAAAAGCAGCCAAATGCCGATGAAGGGAGATAAATGATTAACTATATACAAAATCCTTTCCACATACAGTGTGTATATAAAGGACTGCATTTGCAGACTGCAAAATATGCATGTGGTTCTTGAACGTGGAACTATGTTATTCAAATTACATTACCTCTGCAAAGCCTTCTTTTAAACGGTAAAAAAATGAAATGTCATGGACCTTTTACTGCACACCACCGAGCAGGGGAGGGGTGATCAACCAAAGCCTTTCAACTGTCTCTGATGGTTCTACGTGTGCAGTCTGCCACGCTCACCGTGACATTTAGCAGATTTTCCCAGTGGGACATGTGGACCTCCGTGTTAAGCAATGACACAAACAAGAAAACAGGCACTGTTTATCTCGTCAAAAATGAACACAGCGCTGGAATTACACATGACCTGTGCACCTGACTCTCCTCCTTCCTCCTCCCTTTACTTTTCCAAAGGGTTGCTGCTGGATAAATTACAACTCCCTCTCCTCTTCCAAATATGCCCATCTGTTTCAGCCTCAATTACTCTCTCAGCTGTAGATGACTTCATTGTTCACCCAAGGGAGCTGTAGACAAAGTTATCCCAATTAGCCTGATACACATCAAACACAGATTTCAAAATCCTAATTGGAGGATTTCTGATGTTTAGTGGATTTTGTCAACAAAAATACAGGTTGTCAGAGCTTTCCCTCCATATCAAGCAATTTACGTCTCCTATTCTCTTTTGTATTCTCCCTTTATCCAAATGTTCACTTATCCCAACGTCTCTTGCCTACGCACTGTGGATCTCCAGCTGCGCCTCTGTCAGACTAAAAACTTCAATATGCCCAAAACTCAGCTGCCCGCTTGCTCACCTTCACCCGACGCTCCGACCACATCACCCCTATCCTCCATGACCTCCACTGGCTCCCCATCAAACACCGCATTGACTTTAAAATATTACTCTTCACTTTCAAAGCCCTCAACAACCTTGCCCCCCCTGTGACCTCATCCAACGACACACCCCCACCCGTCGCCTCAGGTCTGCTGAAGCTGACTTACTGCAGCCCATCAGGCCAAAGCTCTGGCCCTGGGGTGACAGGACCTTCGCTGCAGCCTCCCCCACACTCTGGAACTCCCTCCCCAGCCACATCAGATCCGCAAACACTCTCACATCATTCAAACAATCCCTCAAAACTCACCTTTTCACTCTTGCCTTCAACTCCTAATCAACTAACCCCTTGCCCTTATTCCACCTAGCTTAGCACTTTTTACTTTTGTTGTTATTTTGTTTTACTTGCTTGTAAGCGCTTTGAGAACCAGGAAAAGCACTTTATAAGTATAATGTTTTATTATTATTATTATTATTATAGACAAAAACAGAAATCAGTAGGTGAGGACAAAAAAAAAGGTTTGCCTTAGGCTCCTAATAGATTTGGTGAAAAAATAAATTATAATTAAAAACATTCCTTCATTTTAGAAGAATTCTAGAGTATTAACACCCCACCATTGCATCACTTTTACAAGACGGCTGTATTAATAACATTCTCCTCAGTAAGACTCATCCTCATTAATACTGTAAGCGGCCACTCTAAAAGCCATTCATATTACATCCCTCTGAGTCTTATATCTGGAATTCCCCCATTTTAGTGAGTCAGATGTCAGCAGAGATCCACAGAGGAGCGGGTCGAGGCTGGGCTATCATGAAGCAGAAGTCCTTACATCACTCCCTCAGTCAACACATATACAAACAGTCATGCAAACTTAAAGAGCATTTATGCCTGTAGGCATGCATGCACACACACAGGCAGTGAAAAACACAACTATTGAAAAAATAAATGCTATCTAAGGATACAATTATTCTGTCTGAATGAATGTCCGAGAATCTCTCTTATAACTCTTGAATCACATAAAACAACCATCAAGGACAGAAAGATGATCGAGGGAATAGGTCCCCACACTGACTACACCTAGTTCACAGACGGAACTCCTCATGTGCCTTATTTCAAAGCATTTTGATGGAGATGGAAAATATTATTATTTACGTCACTAATCATAAACGTCAGGGCCAGAGTTTTCATCTCCATGTTATTCAAAACGTCATAAAGCTTTGGCTTAGTGCCACTTTGCACAATGAGACAGTCGTCATTGTATTAGGTTGGTACTGGTAGAATATTAAAGGCACAAATATTCTTTTTTCTATATGATAATCAAAGAGAAGGTGAGCAAGAAAGAAATAGAGGAAGTGTATGCAGGCTGTTTATTGTTGTCTAGGTGGGCAGCAATGTCTGTAGAAGAAAAATGTGCTTTCAGATTTAGATCAATAAAAAATATGCAAAGCAGTGACAAAACACAGTTAAGAGATGGAAGAAACAGCTAATTAAAACATTTTAAAGATAAATTATTCCTGAGGTGGGGGAGATTATGGGATGTACAATCCAAACAATAAAATCAATATATAGTTTTTGAGTTTTTTACACTTTTTAACAGTAACTGGTCATTCATGTTAACTTTGTGTCTTTTGGTAATAATTTCTACCAACCAAAATAAAATAAATGTTTGGCAATGACACAGTATCTTCATTTTCACAACCGCAGTACAGGGAGTCTTATCTCAGTTAAAAAAAAGAAAGAAGCCTAGGTCAAAAGCACTGCAAATTGATTCCTTATGTCAGGTCTGAGAGGCAGGCAGCAAGAGGAAGCAGAGGTGGAAGAGACAGTGAAATTGGTCCCTCTGTTGGATTACATCGGTAGTACATGGGATGGACACGTCATCACCCCACTGCCCATCCTCACAGGCTTTTTCATTAAGCCAAAGCACTAACACATAATCCCTACCCTGGGTGTGCGTGTGTGTACGAGTGTGTGGGATTTAGAGAGAGAGAGAGAGAAAGAAAAAGAGAGAGACAGAGGGCACAGACGTCACACTGCAGTGGCAGTCATGTTCTCTCTTATTTTAGAATACAGTGAGCACAAGGAATACAGAAGGATATAAGGTAAGGCTACCTTTCAGAGGTGAGACGAAAAAGAACAATATGAAGCATACCAATAGTGGAGTGTTTAGAACAACAGTCTTAAATTAGAAGTCACATGTTCATGGATCAAAATGTGATACTAAGCTATCATTTCAATGTATTGGATAGACACCACAAACACTTAAAAAGGGGTTCTGGTGTGTCAGCTGAACATGTTGTGTCCATCACTGAAAAAAGGTAAATAAACAACTCTCAAAGATAAGGTACCACAATCTGCTCTTGCGTTGTTAAAGTGTCACTCACTTTATTAGCCACAGTCTTCCAAATTAAAATGGAAAATGCATAATAAATAACTTCTGAAAATACAAAACTCAATGGTATTATTGAGTTAATAGGCTTATAACACTATGACAAAGCTGTGTTCTCATACCTTCCTATCACCCTAGAACTTTTCCATTTATAAATCTCAGAAACAAAAGTCCCATGGTAACCAC